TCACAGATAAACCCCATATACAAACACATACAGACACAGATACGCACAGACACACACACAGCTAAGATTTATTCATACAAAATGTAACAACAACAAATAAGCCCATATTGGGATCTGATTGAGAGAACCAGTAACAACACATTCTAGTACATAGTTTGTCAAGTCACTCTGGTCAGAGGTAAAGGAAATAAGAATTCTACATGGTACTTAAGAAGAGTGATTGTTCTCAGCTCTGTGTAATCTTGGGACAACTGCCTTGAAGGACAGCCCTGAAGTTCTCTGTTATAATGTCCCTTTCTAGTTCTTTTGCTTTAGAAGCTCAAATGCTCAAAGCACAGTGTTGGTTTGTGACATCCATGTTATTGAAACTCCTTATTGTATATTTGGTCAGTGGGCTGTGGTATGGGTGGCACTTTTGGTATGGTATACTAGTCTGCTTTTTGGTGATATAATAAAATACCTGAGGGTTGGGTATTTTTAAATGAGGGTTGGGTATTTTTAAAAAGATGGATGCTACTTGGTAAGGCTGCCTACTTTCTTTCAAACAGCACCATGTGTATTCAGAAAGGTTCTCATCATTATACAACAGGACTGTCAGAAATCTGAGCCCAATGGAGTCTTGAATGGGAGGAATAGACACTAATTTCAAACACCAAAAAGCCTTCAACTATGGTCACTCCTGCTTTAGGTGGTAACATATACCTCAATATGATTTTTTTTTTTTTTGGTCTTTTTGAGACAGGATCTCCCTGTAGCCCCAGCTGTCCTGGAACTCACTATGTAGACCAGACTGGCCTTGAACTCACAGAGATCTGCCTTCCTCTGCCTTCCAAGTGCTGGGATTAAAGGCATTAATATGATTTTAAAATGGCGCTTGTATGTGCCGTACTGTCTTTGAAAGGATTTTCTTACATAAATTTTCCAAGGCCTAAGATGAAAACGTGTTTTTTCAGAGAGGATTTGATGGAGTGCCATCTTTCACGCACATCTTCCTTCCCTCTCTGCTCTAGCTAGAGTCTAGACCAGGCCTCCCTCAGGTTTCTAGGGGTTGGGGGAAGAGGTGGGGTTACTTCTGATGGGTGTGCCCTCCGAGGTTCCAGCTGACCTGGCCCTGTTGGGCTCTATTAGTTTTCTACCTGGGTGGAGGCTGCACATTGATGTCTGTCACTCTTGCCCCCAGAGCCATCAGGTCGCAGCCAGTTTTCATTTGACAGCTGTTTCTTTTGGCTCACAAAAGTCCCTGGCCTCATTGCGTTCTCCTTTTCTCACAGCCTGACAGTTCCTTGTGATGCTTTCAGCTTTTTGATACTTATGAGGAGACAGCTTTTTTATATCTTGTGCAGTATTTTTAGTATTTTTTTTTATTCAGATGTAATATTAAGAACAAAACCTACAGCTGGACATAACTGGGTACCAACATCTGATCATCAAATCATAGCTTTCCTTCTTGCTAGTCTGAAGCTATTTGCTTTGAGTTTCAACTAATAAAAACTTTGCTCCAGGAAGCTCCTTTGACTTGATTTGGGATCATCAGAGCATGGATTTAGAGTGATATTTTATTAAGTCGATGATAGGTTAGCTTATTGTTCTAAAAAAATACAGAAATTAAATTATTTCATATTTCTTATATATTTTATTATTATTTTAAAAATTTTTGTGTGAATGAGTGTATTGCTTGCATGTATGTAAGTGTACCTGTGTCATGCAATGCCCACAGAGGTCAGAAGTTGGCATTCCATTCCCCTGGAACTGGAGTTATGGACGGTTGTTAGCTTCCATGTGGGTACTGGGAATAAAAACCAGGTCCTCTGCAAGAGCAGCCAGTGCTCTTAACCTCTGAGCCATCTCTCCAGCCCCTATTCTATTTTAAAGTTTCTTTTTATTTTCTGTGTATGACTGTTTTCCCTACAAGTATGTAAGTGCATCCATGTCATGCAATGAGGCCAAAAGAGGGCATCAGATCCCCTAGAACTAGAGTTGTTAACTGCCATGTGAGCGCTGTGAATTGGACCTAGGTCCCCTGCAAGAACAACCAGTGCCTTTAACCATTGAGCTATCTTTCCAGTAACTGTTTATGGAATTTAAAATGTCTGATGAGATGGACCACTTCAGATTTCCTCAGTAAAGTTTTTATTTGTTCCAAATATAGGTAACATTAAACCCTCAGTGGAAAAAGGTAAGGAAGTGCTTTATTTGACTAAATGATGACTAAACCAGAGCCACACAAGAGCAGAACAGTGTCTTCATGGAGTGCTGACTCAGTGTTGCCGTCTCTTGATGTCTCCAACAAAGATCAAAAGATTCAAGGTTATCACTCTCGGTGTTTCTCCTCCATCAACGTATGAGAAACAAGCTGGCCGACACAGAGAATCACTCCTCTACTTGCCTATGGGTTAGCTGAATTATGAATATCATTCTTAGAGAGACCAGTGACTATGTAAAAATCAACATGGGGCTGGAGAGATGGCTCAGTGATTAAGAACAATGACTGCTCTTGGAGAGGACCTGAGTTCAATTCCCAGCACCCACACTGTGGCTAACAACCATCCATAACTCTAGTTCCAGGGGAATTCATGCCTTCTCTGACTGCCATGGACATTGCATGACACAGGTGCACTTATACTCGTGGGCAATGCACTCATAAAAATAAAAATAATAAAGTATTTTAAAAACCACACACACAATAGAATCCTAAAACCTTCCCATACAATTATGAGTCTTTTGGGGCAGAGGCTTGCTTCTCTGACTGTCAGTTTTCTTAGATAAGAACTTTTTAGAAAGATTTTATTTTTATTTTTAATTATGTGTATAGGTATGTTCATGTGAATGCAGGTGCCTGTGGAGGCCAGAAGAGGACATCAGACACCCCTGGAGCTGGAGTTACAGGTGGTCATGAGCTGCCTGACAAAGGGTGCCTTGGAACCAAACTCAGGTCCTCTGCAAGAGCAGTGTGTACTCTTAACTACTGAGCCATCTCTCCAGCCCTTTAGCTGGAAACTTTGAGGACTGCATCCGAAGTGTTTCCCCAGGCACAGTGTACAACGTGGCAAACATTTGAGAATCCCCACTTTTTATTTTGAGACAGTCTCACTCTGTAGTCCAGGCTGTCCTTGAACTCACTACATAGCCCAGGCTGGCCTTGAGCTCATGATACTCCTCCTGCCTCAGCCTCCTGAATGCTGAGTCAGCATGGTTAAAGAAATAACTTTAAGTATGCATTTCTTTTCATTTTTTTTCAGAAAATAAATGTAATCAACAATCAAATCCATGATTTTATACATTTAATTGCTTAGAGCAGGATTATTTAAGTTCATTTATAGTTGATTCTTAAATATCAAGTAAGGGGCTGGAGAGATGGTTCAGTGGTCAAGAGCACTGGCTGCTTTTGCAGAAGACTTGGGTTCAGTTCTTAGCATCCACATGGCACTTAACCACCATCTGTTACTCCAGTACCAGGGGATAGACACCCTGTTCTGGCCTCTGCTGGCATTGCACATACGTGGTGCCCCTACATGCATATAGGTAAAACATTCATACACGTAAAATAAAAATAATAAACTATTTTTTGGTCTTTTTGAGACAGGGTCTCCCTGTAGCCCCAGCTGTCCTGGAACTCACTACGTAGACCAGGCTGGCCTTGAACTCACAGAGATCCACCTGCCTCTGCCTCCCGAGTGCCGGGATTAAAGGCGTGAGCCACCACGCCCGGCTATAATAAACTATTTAAAAAATAAATAATTAGGGGGCTGGAGAGATGGCTTAGAGGTTAAGAGCACTGACTGTTCTTGCAGAGGACCTGTCCTTAACTCCAGTTCTAAGGGAATCCGAAGCCCTTTTCCGACCTCTGCAGCATTGCATGACACGGGTGCACTCACACACATGCAGGCAATACACTCATACACATAATAAATAAAATATTAAAAAAAATAAAAGAATATCAAGACCAGGTGCACACATTTAATCTCAGCACTTGGGAAGCAGAAGCAGGTGTATCTCTGTGAGATTGAGGCCAGCCTGGTTTACATAGTGAGTTATAGGCCAACTAGGGCTACAGGGAGACCCATCTCAAAAAGCCCCTCCCCCCCCAAAAAGAATGTTAAGATAGTTCAGAGATGTGGCAGAAATGATGAACATGGTGGTCAAGTGACTGAACTTTGGAGATATGAAGTTTTTAGAAGATCTTTAAGATTTTAACCCATATAACTATTCCAGTTCTTAGTACATGGTAAACACTCATACTAATTGAGTCATCTCCCTAGCTGTACCCCCCCATCCCAACCTGGGAATTTTTCTAGCATGCTGAACAGGATGATCTGATCATAGTCCAAATCACTGGAATATTTCAAGTGTTTTGTTTTGTTTTCTGGTATTTTATATTGTGGGTTTTGTTTTGGTTTTGTGAGACAAGGTCTTGCTATGTAGCCTCGGCTAGCCTAGAACTCACTATGTAGCCCAGGTTGGCCATGAACTCTTGATCCTCCTGCTTTCATATCCAAGGTGATGAGATTGCAGACCACAACTGGCATGTTCTCTTTTTGTTTTAAATTGGAGTGGGCTATGAAAAAGCCCTGCTGGGGGAGGGTTCCAGAACCGCTAAGAGAAACTTACAGACCTAGTAAGACTTGCTCACCAGTCTGACAGGTGAGGCAACAACTTTGTCGGGATGAATGGTGGGTTCTGGTCTTGTCCAAGGCCATTTTACTAGTCTGGCTGGTCCTGACTCAGACTTTCTGCACCACATTTTCTTGAGCGTGACCATTCAAATTACTAGCAAATGTTACCTCTTTACAGGAAGGAACTGCAGGGCATGCTTATATATTTTATTACAAAAACACCACAAGATTTTTTTCCTTTAAAAATATGGAATTCTCTAGGTGTGGTGGTACATACTTTTAATCCCAGTCCTTGGGAGGCAGAGGCAGGAAGATCTTTGTGAGATTAAGGCCAACCTGGTCTACATAGCAAGTTCTAGGTCATCTGGGCTACAGGAAGACCCTGTTTCAAAAAAAGAATGCTTCATGAATTTGCTTGTCATTCTTGCCCAGGGGCCATGTCAATCTTTTCTGTATAGGTCCAGTGCTAGTATATGTGCTGCTTAAGTGAGCGTGTATCACAATATTTTATTTCTCTAACTTTTTCTTTTACAGAAGTAGTATATACTAATGAAGGAAAATTAGAAAATATAGAAAACTGTAATCACACAAGCGTAAGAGCTATCGATATTTTGATCTATTGTTCCTTTCTTTTCCCCTCCAGTACTAAAAAGCCAAGATTCTGTTATACATATTATTTTGAACTTTTTTCTAATGTAACAATGTGACCATATATTTCCTCCTACATTATTAAATAATTTTCTACAATAGTGAAAAAACAATGCTTACTGGGAGTTCTGGAAAGCTTTGTGGAAGAGAAGGCATCTGGGCCGACTGTTGGACTGGTGACGGTTTACCAGGAGAGCAGGGAAGATCATGCACCAGGAGATGAGAGGAACATGGTCAAGGCTGTCAGGCAGGGAAGGGCAGGAGGGCTCAAGAGATGTCACATTGTTGGTGCATTGGGACACAGGAACGGAGTGAGGTGGCTCAGGTGGTACAAAGGACTGGTCACAAATCAGCTTCAGTGCCCCTTTCCAGTGTCATCTTCCACCTGTGCTTTACCCACAACATCCAATGAATGTAGACTTTTCTTAAGCATCTACCTTGGCCCTGGTCACTTTCTCTGCTTATTGCTGGTCCACCCTCCCCTTGCCTTTCTCTCCTCCAAGACCGTCAAACATCACTTGTCTGGATCTCACCACCCTGGCAGACTTTAATATTGTCCTCAGAATTCTCCTGGCATCTTCCATTTACCTGTCTCGCAGCCTTAGTCCACTCACATTTTAATTTTTGTGCAGGAGGAAGCCGAGAGCAAGGTCATTTATATGCAGCATTTTGCTTTTCCTTAGTTTGATTTAGAACTTTATTTTCTAAGGTCCCAGTTTATGGGGCCTTAACATCAAGAAATGCAGCCACACCATACGGCCTTCGAGTGGCCTTCACATTACCACTTTCCACAAGATCACATCTATAGAGAGGTTAGAGACATTATTAACAAAGTTAAAAAAAATTAAACCTCTAGAGCCAGTCTAAACCACATTAACATTTTCTTTATAATCTTCTGTCTTCATTAGGGCTTGTAAAAAGTAGGCCCAGGTTAAAGCCAATCAAAGACAGACATTCTGTCATTTTTTTTCAGACTTCTATGAATTTTTAATTTAATGTTAATAGAACATTATATATAAGCAATGGATTAGACCATGTTCTAGAGTATTATGGGGATTTTAGGGATGTTACAAATTTGTTTCTTAGTTTCCTGATCTTTCTGATCAAGAACTTAATCAACTGCTGAGTCTAGGGAGACATTAAATCATGTAGCTGTGTATTATATTTGTTATATAAGCTATATAAAAATAACTTATGTCTGTATTCCGAAAGGGGATTTAAAAAGCCTAAGAAAGTCTGACAAGTGTTTACTGACAGCTTCTCTTTGTTCCTCATATTTCTTGGACACTTTAGGGAGTAGCTGCCATGTTCCTAGGGGAGATTTCTCTACAGGTGTAGACTGAGGTGAACCTCCCCAGAGAGTCTGATGTCCCTTATTGCTGAGAGCAAGTTCTTTTACATGTAGAATGTTGCTCTTGTCTTTTTCTCTCTCTAGACCAGCATCCTTTGGGGCAAGGGAAGGTAGATCTCACCATGGTCACTGGATTAGGTCTGTACCTTTTGTTGTGCATAAGTGGGGTCCGTCACAAAAACTTTTCAAGAACTCACTTTCTCAGTTAGTAGAATAGTATACACTCCTGGGCAATGCATAAGGGCTGACTTAGTTCTTTTTAATGACACATAACAGTTCACTGTACGGAAGTGGCATCATTCATTTAACTACTGTCTCTTCATGGACTATTCAGTTATTTCTTTTGCTGCTATGACTACGGCAGCAATAGAAATATCACATGCCTTGACTACTCATGTAAGTATACCAGCACAATATGTTCAAATAAGTGAAATTGCTGGTTAAAGGGTATATGCATTTGGTGGGTACTAGCAGAGGCATAAAGAATGGGGTGGTGCCAGGCCATAAAGGTCTGTATAATTTCTAGAGAATTTAAAAACTATAGTAAGACCAATGTGGGTCTGCGTTTCATGAGCACCATGCCTGGCAAAGGTAGAGTCAGAGGAAATGATTCTCCCTTTTGCTCTTCTAATCTCTTCTCTTTTCTCTCTTTTCTCTCTTTTCTCTCTCTTCTCTTCTCTCTCTCTCTCTCTCTCTCTCTCTCTCTCTCTCTCTCTCTCTCTCTCTCCTTTCTTAAGATAGGGTTTTGCTATGTAGCTCTGCCCAGTTTAGTACTTGCTGTGTAGACTAGGCAGGCCCTAAACTCATGTCAATCCAACTGTCTTGGCCTCCCAAGTGCTGTGATTACAAGTGAGCACCACACACCTGTCTCAGAGTCTCTTTTTAAAAAAGGTTTAGGTTTATTATTTTATTTTATTTTATTTTTTTGTCTTTTTGAGACAGGGTCTCCCTGTAGCCCCAGTTGTCCTGGAACTCACTATGTAGACCTCGAACTCACAAAGATCTGCCTGCCTCTGCCTCCCAAGTGCTGGGATTAAAGGCGTGCGCCACCACGCCCAGTAGGTTTATTATTTTAATTACGTGTGTGTGTGTGTGTGTGTGTGTGTGTGTGTCTGTGTGTCTGTGTGTGGGTGCATTGTGCACATGAGTGAATGTGTCTTCAGGGGGTGAAGGTGTTGACTTCCCTGGAGCTGGAGTTAAGGGGGTTGTGAGTTGCCTGATGTGGCTGGTAGGATTTGAACTCTGGTTATCTGGAAGAGTACCACATGTTCTTTACCAATGAACCATCTCTCCAGCCCTCAGTTCTTAGTGGTATGAGTATATTTCATTAGAACTTTGGGGGATAAATTACATCTCCCAGACCCATGGCTTTATACATGCCTGGGCTTGAACAGTAGATCACCAGTCAGTGACGATAGCACAGTGGCTATGGAGACCAGGAAGCAGGTCTGGAGTCACTTTTATTATTCTAGACCACCTTGATTAATAAGAGCACATTTTAGTTCATACATGAAATAATTTATAGTATTTTAAAATTGAAATGTATTTTTCTCAAAAATTATAACTTACTCTAAAGCTAAATATTAAATCAAGAAAATGTTCTGAGAAATAATTTTGCCATATAGAGAAGGGAGGTTAAAGGTATTCAGCTCTGTTAAATATATTCCACTGAATTTTGTCCGATGACCTTCTGGACTTCTGGTTTTTTTTTTGTTTTGTTTTTTTTTGTTGTTGTTGTTGTTGCTTCACTGTACTGGGGACTGAACCCAGAGCCTTGTGCATGCTTGGCAAATGTTCTGCCACTGAGTGACATTCCCAGCCATTGGTTATTTTGAGACAGGGTCTTACCATGTAGCTGAAGCTGGCCTATAACCCAGACTAGTCTTAAACTTGCTGGTAGCTCAGGCTGACCTCAAACTTCCTATCCCCTACCTCAGCCTCTCCATTACTGGGGTTATAGGTGTATGCCACCACATTCAGAAGATGTCAGTTTTCTGTACACCCAGGACGTATGAATGTGGTCAAAGACCTCTATTCACTAGAAATCAGGCCTAAAGTGATAAAGAAATCACCCATAAGCTGGAAAATGTCTTTCCAGTGTTCCTTCTTCACGCTGTCTTTATTTTAGAATCCTAGTTTCATTAAGATTATGAGGGTAGGTAGGCCTATCCTAAGGGAATAGAGGGGACAGAAGGGACAGACAATAAATAGGCTCTGCAGCAGACTGTGGTGTTCAGACTCCAGTGCTCCCCCTGGCTAGTTGTCATCTTGGGCAAGGCCCATTACTTCTCTGTGCCTTATTGTTCCCAGCTGTAAACTGAGACAAAACTGATACTGAACATAAAGCGTTGTCATTATGGAATAAAGCAATTTTTATAAAGCACTTAAAACAATGTCTGGCAAATGCTAGTGTTTGCCGTTATCTGCCAATGGTTGGGCATTCAGCGAGGTGTAGGAGACAGATTTCTCTCAATTACCTTAAAAGTCCTACAAACTACACGTTCTAATTCACACTTTGCAACTCCGGTTCTATGACTCGCCTGAGGTTATGCTGTTAATCAGTGAGGGAGATGACAGTGTACCTCAGACTCCATACTCATGCCCTTTGTAGATCAGAAATATTGGATGTTCACACTAAAACAAAATCACCACACTCTGCTCAGTGCTCTTGGCTAAACGTCCAGAGCCAAATGCCCCGGCTTCTTGCATCACCGAAACAATTCGTAAATTTAAATTAAGGGTTTATCCTAATTCTAGAGGACTTGGACAGCTTAATGATTACCTGAATGAGAGATCTGTCTGGGAAGGAAGTCAATGAGAAAGGCAATTGCTGTCTGGAGAGTAATTTTATATTAGAACCGGGAGCCACCTTTTGATTAAAAAGGTCACCAGTATATAATAAAATATTTCTCTGGGAAAAAAGAAAAAGGCAAAATAAGTTAATTTGGACTAGATAATTTGGAATAGTTAGCTAACTATAGGGACTTTGTGCTTAAAATATTAAAGAAAAGAGAGCTGGAGAGATGGCTTAGTGGTTAAGAGTATTGACTGCTCTTGTAGGGGACCTGGGTTTGATTCCCAGCACCCATACGGTGGCGAACAGCTGCCTGCAACTCCAGTTCCGGGGGATCCAATGTCTTCTGACCTCCGTGAGCATTGCATGACACAGATGCACTTACAGACATGCAGGCAAAACACTCATACACATAAAGTAAAAGTAAATAAATCAAAAAAAAAAAAAGAAAGAAAGAAAGAAAAAGAAAAAGAAGTGACCTAACATGCATTTGCAAAGATCTTGTGGAGATGGAAAGTGTGCTGACTCAGCAGGTTCCATGCCTTGGTTGGAGTCTCTGCAGCTGAACCACTTCTTGGCTGCCTTGCAGGGGAAACGAGTGGGTTGAATTTGATGACCTTTTAATCCTTTCATCAGACCAAGTTTCTTTCCACAGTGGGGGACTTGTTACCCTGCAGATTGGGGGTTCTCAGTGATGAGAG